CGAACGCAGTTTCGGTTTCGGTCGTAGTTTCGGCAGGTTTGCCGCCGAAACCGAAACTAAACCGAAACTCGTTTTTTTGCCGAAATTCGACCGAAACCGAAACCGAACTTTCGGTCATACACTAGATCTAACTTTCGATATCCATCCAGGATGCTATCATTTGATGGCAATTGTAAGTAAAAGTTTGGGAACATTTTACCGTGCTAGATGAAACTAAACAACTATTAAATTAAATATTCGGGCATTGATAGGGATTGTGTTGGGAAAGGTTTCCCTAATTAGCATATGTAAAGTAGGAGACAGCTGTGCCCATCCATCCAAATTTGGAAGGGCTCAACTAAGTTTCACATAAAAATCCACACAAGAATATTCATACACAACGATGTAAATCAACACATACGGCCGTTTTACTTCAATTCAATTATTTCTTTAAAGAGATAATGAATGAAAGAATAAACGTTATGACTATGATTTAACGGAGAAAATTAAAAACGAACATTTACCTAAATATTAAAGCGATATTTAGAATTTATCCCACTAGCCCGTTGCTTTGTAAACAAAAAAAATAAAAATTACAATTTGGACCCGAATTTGTAAAAATCGAAACCTAGCAGAAGTAAATTTGCTAGCTATTTTAGTTGATATTACAAATTTAATTGTAAAAGAAACATGTCAAAATTGGGATTGTTACAAGTTACCTAATAAATTCTATAGGGTTGTTCGGAAAGTCATTTCGTTTTTTTTTTTTTGTGGAAATGAAAGACAGTTTTCGTATAATAAACAAATACTTTATTAAATTATATATTGACCGTTCTGGTCCAACACCTTTTGCCATCTTTCTGGTAGTAGCATAATTCCACGCTCATAAAATTTTTGGTCTTTGCTGGCAAAAAACTGATCGAGGAGGTTTTTGACCTCCTCATTTGAGGTGAAGGTTTTACCGTCTAAAAAATTTTGGAGTGACCGGAACAAATAATAATCCGATGGTGCCAGGTCTGGAGAATATGGTGGGTGTAGCATTGTATCCCATTCAAGCTGTAAAAGCTTTTGGCGAGTGACCAAACTTGTGTGAGGTCTCGCGTTGTCTTGGTGAAACACTACACCTTTCCTGTTGATTAGTTCTGACCTTTTCTGTTGAAGTGCATCATTCAGTTTGTCCAGCTGATGACAGTAGACTTCCGAATTAATCGTTGTGTTATCCGGTAAAAGCTCAAAAAAAACGATTCCTTTAAAATCCCACCAAACAGACAGCATCACCTTTTTTTGGTGAATATCGGCTTTGGAAATGGTTTGAGCCGGTTCATCTTTTTTGCTCCATGACCTCTTGCGTTTGACGTTGTTGTATACAACCCATTTTTCGTCCCCAGTGATGATGCGCTTCAAAAACGGATCATTTTCGTGACGTTTGAGAAGCGAATCGCAGACGTCAATGCGGCGACACAGATTTCTCTCTGTGAGAACATGGGGAACCCATACATCGAGCTTCGAGGATAATCCCAGGCCTTTCAAGTGGTCATAAACTGTTGAATTTGATAAATTTAACCTCAATCCGATCTCACGTGTTGTTATTCGCCGGTTCACATCAACTAATGCCTTTATCGCGTCTTTATCAGCTTCAACCGGCCTTCCCGAACGTGGTGCATCTTCGACATCAAAATTGCCGGATCGAAATTTAGCGAACCAGTTCTGGCACTGGCGTACTGTCAACACACCTTCTCCATACACATCAGTCAATTTCTTTCTGGCTTGAACAGCATTTTTACCCTTTCTGTAGTAAAACAGTAAGATATGTCGAAAATGCTGCTTATCGCTCTCCATATTTAAAAGGGCACCAACCAAAAACTACTGCGTAGAATTAATTGGAATTTTTCACACACAAGCCTTGCTATATGAGCTCTCAAAGCATATAAAAATTATACGGCTTAAATGTGAAGTTGGGTGCAAAAGAATACAATTAAATCCTCTGTCGGGAAAAAACGAAATGACTTTCCGAACAACCAATACTATTTCTACGGCAAATTCAGTCATTTACAATCGAAAATTGTAATTTTTGCGTTGTCTTAAAAATTTAGTTTTCTCCGTGTAATGATCATCGGAAAAATTTTTGTTTTTCTTAATTTTAAGCAATCTCCAAAAAATGGAACTCATCTATATTGCTTAGATTAATGAAAACATTTACAATGAAAATAAATAATAAACAATGTTATCTAAGTACTTCCTGAAGATAATTTAACGGACATAAGATCAGGTGGAGACAATATTTGAAGGGCCACGGCCCTCATTCTTTGCACTCCATCAAACGAAATGTGCAATTTGCCGATTATTTCGTCTTCTTCTCCTCCAAGTTGCTTGAACTTAAGCGTTTGAGACACTTTGTCTTCGAAGCTCTGTACCAAATCGAAGAGAGACGTTTCGGTAGTACCAACTTTGAAAGAGCACTGTACCTTTGTGATATCTTCGAACGGTTCACTCATAAGAGTAAACTCAACAGTTTCTCTAGATTGTATGGCGTTAGCCAATAATTTACAAATTTTCTCGTCTTTCTTTACATCAATTTCGAATAATTTGGAAAAATTAAATTTTAGTAAAGAAGACGCGTTATTCTTATTGATCGGTATGGATTTGGTCGACATTTCTTCGCCTTCAAATGTCAAAAATTTGCATTGAACGTACAACATTTCAATTGGAGGAAAGTTTATCCAATCGGCCGTATATGTATAAAATTCTAAGGAATGAATGTGAAGTGTAACATCATTTTTGTAAATCTCATCAATGCTGGAATAATGACGTAATTTTAACGAAGATGTATTTTTATCTCTCCATTGTCTCCACTGAACTAAATGTGGATCTTCACCTCTAAGAATGTCATACTCTTGCAGAGTTAATTTCCAGTTGTATTCTTCGTGAAGCCATTTCGTTCGTTCTTTTAATTCTGCAGCGATTTCAGATTGAGTTATTCGCAAGGCTTTATTTCTTGTCAAGACCAAGTCCAAAGCTTCTTGAAAATTTTCAATATCTGAGTCCGTTTCAGAACCTGAACTACTGCTGTCGTCAATCGCGTTAGGAATTACAAGATGATCTTCTTTCGGATCGGTGTTTCTCACTGACGTAGTCTGCTGTCTTAAAAACTGCGAAATTCTCGTCTTTCCTATACTTTTCTTTCTCTCCTTCTTGGAATGGAGACTCGTAGGAGCTGTTCTGGATTTTAAATTGCTGACATGATGTTCTGTACACACCAACCGAATCCACATGGAAACTTTTCCATAATATGTTACTGCAGCTGCGTTGTCTAGAACTTCCGCTTCATCTGAATCCACTAACTCAACGTCGTTCGTTATTTGAGTGTTAGGTTCGTCCAATAAGACAGATAAAGCAACTTTTCCTTTTGCTAGATGTAATTCTTTGTTTAGATCTAATCCTTTCAATACCAATTCTAAATAAGTTATGTTTGCATATGTTATGAATGCTTCGTTCAAGTCTACTTTGTAGAAAAACGTCATACCGATCTCCACGTTGCCTTCCTCCGGTCGAATGTTGGACGTTGTACATTTATCGAATGTAAAAAATTCCCAGGTCAGTTTCAAAACAGCGCCAGGTTCTAATTTATCTCTCACAGTCCGTATGCCATGAGGGCCTAGGTACATTCTGCTTATGTGGATTTCCACAGCGGCTTGACTATACATTGTGTGCATTAGTTCTGAAATTGATTTGGTATCTGAAGACAGACGTATATCATGAAAATGTTGCTTTATTTTTTCTGTGGTTTTTCGCAAAGGCGTTATCGGAATTCGTATAGAGCGAATCCCTGGACACACTTTGTTTTTGGGCGGTGCCAACGGGTACATTTTTTGACTTTTAACCGATATATCGGTCTTGAGGTCATGTTTAGATGCCATTTTTGTCACATTTGATTACTTGTGATTTATGTCAAATGAAACTGCTCCACACTCGATAAATTATAAAAACTAAATTGAAATTGAAAAGGGATATCTTTGATTTATATATGTCTTCCCAAACACCTTCCCTTTCTCTATAAAAATTTTGTATAGATTTTCAAACTTCTAGCCTTTTTAAAAGTGACCCCAAAGATCGCCCGTTTTCTCTGTCTAAAATTTTGTTTAAAACTGTCAAATGATAGATAATGAGTAATGAGAGTGAATACAAATTTTCAAGATGAGCGATATTTTGTAATATCAAAAAAACTAATTGATTATATAATCTTTTAGGCGAAATACATGAACAAAAATGTATTAAACTGTACAAAAACTCCAGTAATTATACATACCCGAGATACGATATGATGGTAGCTATCTGACTGCAACGGATTATCAAATTTATTAAAGTGGAGAAAATTCTGATGTAGCACTTCCCAATAAAGTTTTTCTTATATGCCAGTGCCTTCTAGTTTTTTTTTTTCATATAATCTTCACAATGCTTATTATTCTATAAACCTACAATTTATGTATATATTTGAAAAGGGTCTAGCCGAATAAGTGCAGTAACAAGGCCCCCATGACTTATTTGTAAAATAATACCTATGCATTTTGATATTAACACACAATAAAAACATACCTAGATTAGATTACTGTTCGCAAATAGATAAGGATGTGGGTTGTTTTAGTTTTAGGGAAATGCGAAGATTAGCTCAGGATAAGAAAGAGTGGTGGTGCGTGTCCAACCACTCTTAGGACTGACGACCTTATGATGATGTCTTCTTTCCAAATTTTAATATATATTTACATCAACCAAATTTTTATCTGTTATAATTTTTGAGAAATATCAATTTAAAAGTTTCGCTATTTTTAACCATCTGATATTTTACATACTTAGGTAGGGAATGAACATTGTTCATCGAACACAGAAATTACGCATTTCTTTATCGGCATTTTTTTCCTTTGTTAGGTAACCCATTGTGTTTGAAAATGCATAATCACTGTTAATTTTTTTAATTTTTTATTTTAAGATTAAGTCATTTTGTCATAGTTACATTTTTGTTTCAGTTGACTGCGAATTCTGTGGTATTTCTGTGTGTGAATATTGTTGGTATATTCATGCATAATCTGATGGAACATGCCCAACGAAAAGCCTTCTTAGATACTAGAAATTGTATAGCTGCTCGACTAGAAATGGAAGATGAAAATGAAAAACTGGTAAGTTATTAATGAACAGTTATTTTTAGTTTTAATAAAGTACACTTAAAGAATTTTACTAATTATTTATTTAAAAACGCAGCACCCGTATTTTGTCTAATGACACCTCCAGAAGTAGCAGAATTCTTTGTATAAATATTTACATGTTCACATAAAGAGAAACACCTCGAGTAACATATATATATATATAGTAGGATTAAGGGGTTTATTATCAAAGTTTACTTGGTTGTTAATAAGTAGTGATTATAATAAGTAAGTAAACCCACCAGTTTAGTTTAGATTTGATGGAAACAAAAAAATGAAAAGTGTGAATTAATAGAACAACGAAAAGTAGAGATATAAAGCAGAGGATAGCGCAGGGTCGAGTCGCCTTCAATAAAAAGAAGTCACTTCTATGCTCGCGAACGGTTAATTTAGAAATTCGAAAAAGGTTGTTAAAGGTATTTGGAGCACGGTGCTGGACGGGTGCGAAACATGGACAGTGGGCGCGGTGGAAAAGAAAAGGTTAGAAGCTTTAAATATGTGGTGTTACAGGCGAATGATGAAGATACCGTGGATAGAGAAGGAATGAAGAGGTATTAGAAATAATATGAGAATAGGGGACTCTATGGAAGTCAATAAGAAATAGGCAAGATAGATTAGTAGAACACCTTCTAAAGCATGAAGGTCTAGTCAGATAGATATTAGAAACGGGAATGGAGGTGCGTGTCCAACCAGTCTTAGGACTGACGACCTCATGATGACGATGAATAAATAATTTATGCCTCTTGCCCCATTTTGCTATGATTGTATGATTATTGTTTCGTACACATTGTTTTGTTTTTTTAATGGACACTGAATTCTGCTAATTTAACCAAAAGGGAGCGGGGAATCAAGTTTTGTCTAAACTTTCATTGAAAAAGTTTATTACAATTTATAATAGCACAATCTATCTCAAAAATTAAAGCAGACTTTGTTATTCTGTGATATAAGAACAAAGGTTTTCACGGCCGGAATCCATAGTAGAATGATGATTCGGGCTATAGGGCCGTGGTCTAAGTGAACTATTCTGTCCAGACGTTTCGTCAACTACTGCGGCTGACATCCTCAGTGGTAGTGCTGCGTTGACAACGTGAACAGCGACTGTAGAGACTTCGGATTTCAGCCGCAGTACTTGACGAAACGTCTGGACAGAATAGTTCACTCTATAGCCCGAATCTTCATTGTATTATTCTGTAATGTTCGTAGGTAAAAATAAAACTTCATTAGCATGGGTAGATCTTTACGTCTGTTGTTTGATCGTATGTAAATTTCCCGATAACGGAACTCTCAATTTGTCCGTATTTGATTGGCTTTGGTGTGGAAAACACTGTCAATATACGTGAAGCTTCTACCACTTCAATAATGCATGAAGCGGTGCTTATCAAAGAGTTTACCTGTCTAATGGAAAATAAGTTGCTCTACAAATATAGCACATTTACGATAATCAATATAAGGATAAAATGTCTGTTTAGGTAATGAAGTTCCTAATCCTAATAATATGATATTGTAATGTTCGTGGGTTTAACAAAATTAACTTCCAAGACTGATAACGACAAAAACTATTTATTTACACTACTTATTAAAGAACTTAAAAACACTATTAAATTATTACTAAACTTAGGTTATGAATTATTCGATTTATTTACACTACTGTTGATATATCACTATTCACTGCGCTATTTATTTTACT